TAGAAAGATAGATAGATGAAAATTAGACACTTTAGTCTAGATTGAAAATCTATAAAAGATCTCAGACATTATTGGAGATATTTTGACAGGACAAAAGAAAAACAGTCACTTCTTTTCACTGTTGCGTGCGAAATGATTTTTTCAAAAATTTAAATTTAACAGAAATCGTAAAAATTTAGGACGTTTATAAATCAGGTCGACAGGCATGTTAAAATAAATTTAAACATTATGTAAGATCTTGTTTGTACTCAAAATATGATCAACTTTAAATTTAGTAAAGCTGTATTTCTGTCACAATGGTACCTGTATTCATATCGTCCGTCGAAAGAATAAAGATCGCTCAATCATTTTGCATTCTACTCTTATTTGGCCTTCTTCTTTCGTGCTTTACCGTTTTTCGCTATTTCTGTTGCTTTCCTTACGTATTTCGACCACTGAATAGTCCGAAATTATTTCTTCGAAAATTTAAATTCAACAGAAATCTCAAAAATTCAGGACGTTTATAAATCGAATCAATATTTACAAATCGGCTGGATTTATAAACCAATTTTAGACTTACAAATCAGCGCTACATTTATAAATCGATCAGGTATTTATAAACTGTTAATGCATTTATAAATTGACTTGATTTATAAAGACCTAAAATGTTTATAACTATTTTAAATTTTCGATCAAAAACTTTACAATTTATAAATCAGCCTATTTTGGACTCAACAGTGATATTGACATTTAATATCAGAAAATTTTTGTTGTAATAAACAAAGAAATAGTAGTTAAAATGAATAAATTAAAAGAAAAGATTTATATTTTAATTTGTTACTTTGTCGTTTAGCTACATGTCGTAAAGCATGACGATGTTCTTGTGCAAATAAATCTCATTGATGATGTAACATTTCATTTTGAATTTCAACAGTTGGCATATATAAATGAAGACGTTTAACACATTGTAATGCTGTTGATCGTTCAAATGTTTGTTAAATTATTTAATGATTTGTCATACTAATAAATAATAAATAAAAGAAAAATAAAATTATTTTTTTTCTCACCGAGGTTTGACAGCAAAATAAACAGCTGGGAAAATATTTGTATGTGATGTAACTGATGTAACAATTTGATCAATAGATAATTCTGATGGATTAACTATTTGAAGAGTTGAATATTGTGAAGCAAAATCGACAAGAGCTCTATGTTATCATTTAATACTGAGAAAAAAGTGAATGATTTATTTTTTACTTTGTATTTTCGAATGTCACTTTGATATGTTCAACATCGACTAATACTTTTAGTTGTTGTTCAATTTGTTTTCGATAAAGAATACCTTTATTCAATGATACATTGCGAATCTTAGAAGAAAAAAGACAAGAAATAGATTTAAATTGTTATTGTTTTTTACTATAATAGTTCGAAGGGGATCATTTGATGATAATTCCTGATTGATTCTTCAGATTCAATTGGCTAACGAATATAATAATTTGGATAAAATGCTCCATCAATAATTATCTAAATAAATAAAAAAGAAAAGATCAAAATTTTTGATCTACTTATTTACTTTGAGTATATGAAGTTGACGTAAACAATTACATAATTGATCAATAGGTAAATATATTTAACGTAAACGTTTTATATCAAGATTATGTAAATGTGCTCAACGACGTTCAGTATCAGTTGTTCGAAATAGTTGATTATTTTCATGATAAAGCCATGTCTATTGTATTAAAAAATAAACATATTATATGAAAAATATTTGTTAAATATCTTACTTTATAAAGATTTAAAAAAAGCATGACAGTCACAGAAAGTACCTGCAGCAAAATAAAATTTGCTTCTAAAATAAATAAATAGAAACAGATTCTTGTTTTGACGAAATAAAATATTTATTTTTACTTGTAAACAGGTAATCGGATCTTCGTAAGAAATTTTAAAAATATTTTTAGTTGATAAACATGCTACAATAACAATTGTTTCATATACTAAACCAAAAAAATGTCCTAATGCAATTAAACGTGATAATTCATTCTGAATAGGTAATGGTGCCAGAATTTTTCCAAGAAATGTTAAATCTCCATCAAATGGACGAATTTCATGTTGACCCATAGGAATACTTAATGCACTAGACTTAAATAAAATATAAATCATTTTATATTTATTGCAAAAAAAGAAACTGGCTTATTTTAATTTAAGAATTATCACGTTTAATTGCATTAGGACA